ACCTGCACGACTTGTGTCAACTGTCGAGGCGCTCACGCAGACGGCTCTGCGAACTGTCCACGCATCGTATACCTGCGAGAGCGAAACAGGATCCTCATGGAGTGCAAGGTCCCGGGCCCTACTCCCGGTCGCGCTGGATGGGTTTGGCATACCCGACGCCGCCCGAAGCGCGGGTCCAGGGATCCCCTCCTCGATGCTCAAGAGTGCCCTTCTGGTCTCCAGCTTGACAACTGACGGTGCCAGCGACCACTTCGAGCTCAGCCGCGACGACACCTGCACTGCGCAGGCCGCTAAGCTCGGCGTGGTGCCTGAGGATCCTTCATCTCAGAAGGAATGGTCGAGTATAGCTCACCAGACTTCTTCTGAGTGCGGCGCCGGATGAGGTGTACATATCTCGCGCGTCTGCGGGCGGTGTCTCGCCCGGGAGCAGGCGCATGGCTCCACGCCTTACCCTGTGGGGTGTCGACATCCTGAAGTATCGAAATCTCACAAACTATTGCCAGTGAGCCATAAAAGACGGCATGTTTAACGGACTGCACTCATCCATCTACGACACATCCGAAATTCGGAAAGCTTTTCGGTTACCGTAGATAATTTCAATACGGATGCTAAGGAATGCAGAAAATCGCTGTCAATGGAAAATTCCGCTTCTTGTTAATGACTTTCCTCTGTGGTCTAGGAAGATACGTGGAACACCGGAAGCACGAGACTCCTGGGACTGAATCGCGTGCGAGCGATATCGCTCGCTTTTCCGATTTTAGACTTCCGTCGCAGCTTCACTTGTTTCAGTGAATGTTGTTCTTGGTGCCACAGCTCCAAGTGCTGCTGTCGCTGCGGTTGAGCCTGCGGTCGTCTCACGCTTGATCTGCATAGAGGGCCATGGAATGTGGGCCGTGGCGTGCCTTCTCGTTTTCATCGGTCGCTTTCATGCGCTACCATCGATTTTATCTTCTTCCCCCCGTCTTCCTCCTCATGGGATATTCCCCTCGTTACTGATCCGGAACAAGCAGTCGGGCATTCGAACAGTCCGCCCAATGAGAACAATAATCACAATAATAATTATCATTATTATTATAATTCATCATACTAGGCCAGCCAAGCAACAAGCATTCGTAACTCCTGTTGACCGTGATCCATCGGATAATATTCGGATGAGAAATTCATTGAATGAACGAGTTTCTGCTCGTGGAACACCTGAGCATTGAGTTGACCGCTCATTTTGCTGATAACGTGTCTCGCTTGCCGGCTCATGAGACTTGCGGGACCTACTGCGAGTGTCTTCTAGTTCCGTCAGGGTTCCTCAGACGCTCCATGAATCTTTAACTGCGCCAGCAGCCGCTTCGGGTCATCCGGGATTCCTCTCGAATCACCTGACCGGCGGAGCTTTGTTTTTGGGTCGCTCGGCAAATCGTGTGGATTCCGTTGCTTCTCGCAGCGGTTCTTTTCTGACCACGGAGTTACGCACGCGACCACCGCTAAGAGCACACTCCGAGCAACATTGTGAACAGCGATGGCATGAGTGAAGAACGACTCTCTGTGAAGATGATCCATGCGGATGCGACGTCCCGTTTCCTTCGGTCCCCCAAGCTTCGCTTCATCGTTAGGTTCCTCCTATCGCTCTATTCAATCCCGAAAATCTTCAAAGTCCATCCGCAGCAATGAATTCAGACGCCCCGAGTGGGTTCTGGTACGGCCTGGCGAATATTCTGAGAACTCTCTCGCTATCCGGTCATCCACAGGCCGAACGCGGCGCTCGAGCAGACATTTAGTGAAAGTAAACGACTCCCACACCGGGACACTTTCGTCCAAGTGGAACAGCAGATGAATGTGGAACACATTATCAGCGGCGGCGTCTATCGACGGTGGCTGCGAATCACTCATTAAATTAATAAATCTGGAAATATGAAACTCGAACGAACGACTGAAAAAATACGTGAACCCGATCCTCGGGCAAAAAAAGATCGCTGGGAGCTAAGCGAGGGATTTTTCGGAGACGGAGTTTTTGCCGCAATAACAACCAGTTATTGGCCGAGCTCAAGCTTCCTGAAGATTCCACGCGTGATCATATGGGAATCCACCCATTTTCACCATGCTGAGAATGCCGACAACGATCGAGTTTTCCAAGGTCCGCTAAGTGATCCGACGGAAGGGTGAGCGACTCAACGTCACGAGAGCCGGGGAAAAAGTCTGTGGCATAACTCGACCATCGTCCGCCCGAGAATTTTTCTGGGTTCAATCAGCTCAGGAAGGACATACAGTGGCGGTCAAAATAATAGAGCCACCTAAAAACTTCGTCTTCTTTTTCGGAGGTCCGTAACTTTTCAGAAAATCGACCGAATCGGACGTTTTTTTTTTGAAATCGAAGAGAATTTGATGAGCTTTCCAATGAACTCGTCTATTTTGACATTTGAATGCGTTTTGAGGGACTTTCAGCCATCTCAATATCGCTTATTTTCGAAATTTTCTATCTCATTTTAAAACCCTCATAAGTCGGGACGAGGGTATCGCATCGGTTCGGTGTGGTCGGCATCTTGTAGCGCGGGAAAAGAGCTGTCGATTCGTCTATTCACTTTCAAAAATCGGTTCACCTGGAGCTGAGAAAAAGTTCGTCTGCTACGTGGAAGTAACGGTCAAAATAATAGAGCCACCCCCCCCCCATAATAGAGCTGGACGGCAAAAGGTCGTCTCTTTGATCCGTGCATAAGTCAAGTGGGAATGGCATGCGCATCCGAAAGCCCGTCTTCCGTAGCGCGGAATTGCTTTTTTATTTCTCAGATCGGACCAGTTTCCGTGGAGTTATGCACGGATCAAAGAGACGACCTTTTGCCTTCCAGCTCTATTATGGGGGGGGGGTGGCTCTATTATTTTGACCGTTACTTCCACATAGCAGACGAACTTTTTCTCAGCTCCAAGTGAACCGATTTTTGAAAGTGAATAGACGAATCGACAGCTCTTTTCCCGCGCTACAAGATGCCGACCACACCGAACCGATGCGATACCCTCGTCCCGACTTATGAGGGTTTTAAAATGAGATAGAAAATTTCGAAACTAAGCGATATTGAGATGGCTGTAAGTCCCCCAAAACGCATTCAAATGTCAGAAGTGACGTGTTCATTGGAAAGCTCATCCGATTCTCTTCAATTTCAAAAAAAAAACGTCCGATTCGGCGGAGTTTCTGAAAAGTTACGGACCTCCGAAAAAAGAAGACGATGTTTTTAGGTGGCTCTATTATTTTGACTGCCACTGTATGTGGAAGAGGAACCTGGGATCTGATTATGGGTCGGAACCCGTTTTCTCGCAAACGGCATTATGGTTAGAGGGGGACCGCGCTCCAGCTTGGGGGGCGTCATGTAAATTGAGAACTCCACCGCGCAGAATCGCTCCCTCCTCATGCCGATATAATTCAGATCAAGTCCGCATATCGTTCTCCTGGGATTTTGCTTGAACCTGCTCGGAAGGTCCCTCCTCTTTTGTTTCGATCTCGTGATCTATAAAAATTATTTCGCAAGTTTTGATCGGGGGACGATGCCGTCTAGCTCCGCCGATAGTCAGGAAATGCGCAGAAAAATTCGAACGTCGGGAGGCAAATCGCACAGACTCCCACGAAACAATTCGAATTTCGCATCATTCACTCACCGCAGTGCTTATCATCCATCTGGTCGGCTGCTCAGGCAGCCCATCGAGCGGGCGGTGAGCAAGCGAGCCAGTCAGTCAGTCAGCCAGCCAGCCGAAAGGCACTCGTCTGGAACCTTGTCTTCAGCCTTAACCTACTCTTCGGTCGGGCGATGTCACGCAGAAGTTTCGAAGTCTTCTATAATCGAACTCAAGCTTCCGTTGCACGAGTCTATCGCTGCCATCTTCCGCGCGAGTCACGATGGCGAGCTCATCGGAGAAGATGAGTCCTATACATTCCGGAGCGATAGCGCAGGCGAGAATTTTCCCAATACCCCGAAAATCGACTCGAGCTGTCAACGGAGCCTTACCGAGTCTGTCTGGGAAACAAAAGCAGTTAGATAAGCGGGGAAACCAAAAATTGGGACTTAAAAAACTCACAATCATGGAATTATCGCAACACAGAGGTAGGGCTGTCTGTTATTCAGAATCCCGCGAGCGATTGCGAGACCTTTCGTCGTCGGGCCTACAATCACAAGCGGAAACATCGTCACCGTCGCGTCGGGGCCGGCGCGGCGTCTCTTCAGACCGCCTGATTGGAAAGTGCGCAACTTCGCATCGAATAGTTTAATTGAATTTACTTCTGTGAGATAAAGAGCATGGTGACGAAAAGCGGGGATTCGACGCTCAATTGATTTGTTTTTTTTTCTGCTTATGCGGCTTGATTTGCGTTCGTTTATCAGGACGATGAACATTTCTGGTTTGTTTTAATCTTGCGAGGACAGTGCTTCCACAGGAAGCGTGAGAAATCCTCGGAGCATTCGAATCCGTCGGAAAATCTCATGCTGGATCTGGCTGGTGGGAGTCTGCGATGAGAGCTAGTTCCGATCGGAACCTCCTCAATCCCCCAGCTGAAGCGCGCGGTTAATCTTCGAAAGAGCTGATGCCGGACGAGCAGACACGCTTGGTTTCCATGCGGGAAATTCGATCACAAACCTGGATTGTCTCTCAGCTCACAATCAGTCGAGCAACGCCTGCGATGCTTCCGCGTCCACGTTCACAGATCCTTCGATGGCAAAAAGCGGATGACGCTCCCGCATTCAAGAACTCCGATCCGAAAGCGATCAGTGGAAAGACTCGAGCTGTCAACGACCGGAATTCAAGTTAGAGATATCACCTCCCGATATTCGGCACATCCAGTTTCTCAAGAGTCTCTCTGCTGGTCTGTCCCTTCCACGAGCTGCGGTCGGTTGCAGAATGTTCTCTTTTTTTCGTGCGGATCAAAAACTGAGGAAAAGAAGAACTGTTTGCCGATCGAGGGTGAAGAAGTCATGCGACTAGCCGGAGTGTTCGTCCGGACTCCTCTTGATATGTTGAATCATTTTAATATGGGTATGTCGGGTGTAAGCTCCACCGGGACGAGACGTCGGACTTTGAGGGAAGATTTTTCGAATCCTGATCAGTAATTGTTGCATATCTCTCCAATTGCAGGTGTTTCAAGAACAGTTCCGGATAGCCTTAAACGCGAAAACCGAGATACTCGAAGAGATCACTCATCTCCATCTCCACACGGAGCTCCCGCTCCAAATGTCGGTGAAACGAATGCGGACGACCGTTTCGAAGGAACTCGTTCTGGAAAAAACGCTCCTGCGGCCGCTGGTGCGACAGACCTTAGTCCTGACGATTCCGAGGAGCGGATTGTAGACGTCGAAGAGATTGTCACAACGAGCCGTCCCCTCACCCAGGAAGATGTCGAAGATTCAGAAAGCCGATCCAGGAAGGAGCAGAGGGGATCACAGAAACCTCTGGGGGACGATCCAGGGCTGTCGAGATCTTTCAGCGTAGAACTCCAGAGTTCCTTGAGTGGGAAAACTCCCCTCATGACATCAAATATCCCTCCTCCTCCTCCTCCATCGACGGCTTCTTCCCCTACGGACACTCTCGAAGTCGCGGAGGCCTCCACTGTTGCTTATACGGTGCCATACGGGGAGGGTTCGGCGGGGTCTTTCAATTTCATTACGTCCCCCACCGTCGAGGAAGCTTCGATGACAGCGGCGTTCCGCGAAGAAAGCGATGAAGTAACCGAGTCACCTCAAGCAGCCCCGGAGAGACGCCAGGATGTGGCCCCTAATCTGATCCGGCCCTCGGACACCTCGAAGTCAAAAAATCCGTCTCGGAATCCAACCATAGAAATCCTCACGGGGCTCATTCAGCTGCTAGGCGGTGATGTCAGACGTCGAGCGACGCCTCCCCCGACCCCACCTCCTCCTCAAGTTATGCATCCGAACTTCAACTTCCATCCTCCGCAGAACGCTTTAATGGGACCGCCTCATCCTCCCCCGCAGTTCTTGCATCCGCTCCCCCCTCACCAACATCGGAGGCCCCCGTTCGAAATCGCGCAACAATTCCCGAATAAACCGAATATCCCGGCCTACATTCCCTCCTTGAACCCCTCGATCGGACCGCACTTGCCTCCTCAGCAGCCCCCCGGCTTCTACTATCCGTCACCTTCGGATGTCAGCAACATCCTCGGCGTTGACGAGGCCACCGAGAGACCGGTTCAGCGTTTCGAATTGAAAACCCCGGACTTGGCTCCCACAGTCACGGTGCCGGTCGAGATCGATGACGAAACTCTCCCGGTGCGAGGGTCTTCTTCTCGGAACACAATCGTGTTCATCCATGAAGCCCCTCCGAGCCTTCTGCCGTCCGCAACCATGAATCCCTCGGCTGCCCCGACCACAACCGCGACGAAAACTCTGCCCGATGAGGCTTACGGCAACATCCAGTCGGAGAAAGGAACGCCCGTGATCGAGGTTGTGGAACCCGTGGCGACGCAGCGACCGTCAATTCAAACGAATCGGCCTTCGAATATTTGGTTGCCTGTCGGAGCCGACGATACCTCAAGGGTTAATATCAAATACGATCCCCATAACGAGCCCGATATCATCACCCAGGTCGCGGAGCCTTCAATCTTCGACGTCACCGTGGTAGGTGACTTGAATCCGACGATCAGCAACACAAAAGATCTGGGTCCTCCCCCAGAAATCATCACCGAAACCTTTACCAATGTCAAGCCGACGCCATCTCAAGCGATCATGGCGACGCCGACGACCGACTTGGCGTCCACGACGACAATAACGTATTCGGAGCCCTCGTCAGAAGCGTTTCCGGTGTTTCTGCCAACGCCTACGATCAGTCCGACGAGCTCCTCAGACGTCGTCGTTTATGGAAAAAGCTCTTCAGGCGACACCAGGGTAAACTCGACGACAGCGTCATCGTCGTCGGAGAAGCCGAATCCGACAAGTACGTCATCGACGCCAGCACTGCTCACTAAAACTCATGGTATCGGGAAACCATATGTCGTGCCCGTAGACGTAGATCCCGTTCGACCCTCTGTTCAGCAGAGCGGGTTTGGGCACATCAAACAGGCTTCGAGAAACGCGACGCCCCTGCCGAACATCAAACAGAAAGCGAAACGGCCGACATTTAAAACGAAAACTAATGCCACCCTGGTCAGGATCGACACTTGTATTGTCGGCGACGATTCGACGTGTGACGCCAACGTCAACGAATGGTGTAAAACCGATCAGGGAATCAGCACCTGCACGTGCAGGCCTGGATACGCCAGGACACAGCCGCGGGGACCTTGTTTGGGTAAGCGGCATTAAACACGCGGCAATCAGCCTTCATTCGAGCACCTAAATCGCTGACACTCTTGACTTGGACTTTTTCTCACGACTTCCTTTCCGAACGGAGACGGACGCTCTGGTACCTCAATTCGCTCCCTGGAATCATGCTAAAAATTTTCGCATCTTCCAGCCACAATTTCAATGCAGCTGACTTTCAAATTGGACAGAATGGGAGAGAAGAAATTGCACTACAATACCAACTACCTCAACCCGGATTCCGAAGAGTACCAGGTTCTAGCGTTCGAGACACGGCAAGCGGTGAGTTTTACCCCGTTCACGATAGAATTTTGTCGAGAAGCGATTACAGTCTACCACGACGGACAGCGGAAACCTCGACGTCGATTAGAGCATCATCGACTCCATAAATCTTGCAACCGTAAATAAGACTAATCATTCCTCTGTCCGACGTCACCGAAACTGTCGAATCTTAGACTGTCGAGTCTTTGACTCGACCCGATTTGGAGGCTCCGGTCGTTTCGGGGTCGTTTACGGAATCGGCGGATTGTAAAAATCTCGGCCGTCTAACTAAGAGTAGAATTTTCCCCTGTCAGTATCGAGTTGAACATCTCCCATTGGCTCTGCGTCTCAGAGCCGTGTGATATAATTGATCGGCATCAAATTCAAAAATAGGGCGAAAGCCCTCCGGGTTGGGGCGTGGCATCGGAAGTCGAACTTCTGGGTCAGGTCGTCCTAGATAACTTATATGCTTACGCACGGCTCACTTAAATCGACTCCTAACCCAATTGGCGACTCAAGACATTCGAAATCTTCTCGGCTGTGGGCCCATTCCGAAGCAGCTTTTCGCGGTCGGAAGGGAGGCTGCGACTTTGAACCGACGCCGACGCGGCGGACAGCCAGCCGGTCAGAGCGAAATGCACGTTACAAGGGAAATCGCATCGAAGCTTTTAAGAATTGTTATTGGACCTCGCTCGACACCAAGCAGCCGGCCACTTCTCGGGGAAACCTGAGGGAAATTCCCGCAGGTCCAATCCGAAGGAATCCCGCGAAAGCAGGCCAGAGTTTTCGCACTTCTGAGGAAGAAAAACCCGCGTATGAACGAGGTTACCAAATTGAGCTCAGAGAAGTGTCCGCTGTCCGCGCGGAAGTTATGCTTCGATCGGATCTAGGAATCACTGCGTGGGAACGGAGAACACAATTATTGAGAAGAGCGCGAGAGCCGAAGACCAGCAGCGCTCACGAATCGCTGTTTATTTGCGCTTCGACGCTTGAGAACGCTTGCCGAACTGAACGCCTCGACCAGAAAGATGCGACTAACAATGACGATCGGCGGTGCGGCGCGCCGACGTCGCGATGCCGGCAACACTGTTAGTCAGAGACTGAATGTGTGTTCATGAGCCGTTGCCGGGACGACTGCTGATGAGATAACGTTCTTCTATTACCCAAATCGGTCCGGCATACTGATGACAACTGCTCGGGCGAGGCATAGACTACCCCGAGCAGCATCGTCTCGTATATATGGAAGGTCTCGACGGCACGAAAAAAACGTGTGACGAGGAAATTTTCGGGGAAATGAGTAAATAGATGAATCTTAATCATCAACGAACAACCTTCTTCACAGCTTCGGAGCCTATTCGCGAAATCGACGTTTTCGCGAGTGTTCATGGACTCCAAAGTGAACGGTTTCAAAGGATCCGGCTCTAAGGTGCTCGTGAACGCTACCGTCGAATTCGAGGAGAACGACATCACCCGAGTTTCATCGGTAAAACGAGTCGTGCAACACGAAATGGTCAATTTGATCTCACGCGGCAAAAGTAACCTTGGTGAGATATCGTTTCTTCCTATGATGCATTCATTGTGCTTCGTGTGTCCGGTCGGGTCCGCCGAGGAATCCAAGCCGTGCGTATTTCAGCTCGAGGGCTCGAAATAGTTGTCTCGACTCCGAAAACACCAATCATGGATTCCGAAGCGATACGGGCTGCGTCTCAATAACAATTTCCTCGAGGGGACGACTTGAAAGTTCCATGACAAATTTTCTTCCCGACTTCCGCAGGGGACTCGAGGCTTTTCGTAGAGCCGCTTCTCAACTCGGCCTTGACTGTCGAGGACGTCAATGAATGCCGAGATGTTGAGCTCCACGACTGCTCGCCCCATGCCAGCTGTGAGAACAGCTTCGGAAACTTTAAATGCGTTTGTAAGCCGGGCTACACCGACAAGAATCCGGATACTCGGAGAGCTGGGAGGGTTTGCGCCGGATGCGGACCTGATTTCTGCAATAACCGAGGCGAGTGTTCGATCGTCGACGGTGAGCGGAGTTGTGCCTGCAAGGGGAAATTTATGGGACCTCGATGCGATATCGATGGAGAAGTGCTCGCGGTCGCCCTGGGCGCTTCGGTAACGGCCGTGGTCATCATCATACTGACGCTCGTGTGTCTCTGCCTCTGGAAGTAAGTATCTGAGATGGTCCTCCCCGCATTCTCAGAAGATCAGTCGAATTTGTTTTATATCCCTACTCATCTCCCGTTTGGCCTTGGGAGCATTCAGTGACAGTCAGCTGAGGTCTCGACAGAGGATGGAATCTCTCGATTTGGAGCAGTGTCTAAATCAATGCATCCTCCGCTCGCTTTCAGTCGACGATGGAAGAGGGAACAGGCGAAGGCTGAAGTGATGTCGGTCGCCAGCATGGCCGGATATTTGAATAAAACGAACTCGATAGGCTACCGGATGCACCAAAGTGCCGCTCAGGACGACCGGTTCCGATGGTCCTCGCATCTCGACAGCCTACCGAACATATACGTCCAGCCAGACTCATCGCGTGAGTGGAAATTCCCCGCCCAGACAACAGACCTATAAAGCGTGGTATCGCCCGACCCGGAGCGTTATACTCCCCTGATTCTGAATGCGTTTCGAGCTCGCAATCAGAGACCGAGCGAGTCATTCGAAAATGATGCCGAGACCATCCCGCCTCTGCTCCCCGAGGGCGAACAATCCACCCAAAATATTGCGAAGGCGAAGCCTCCTGACTTTCAATGTTTCCTCGAATTTTCAGCCCTACATTCAATGCCGCGGGCTCAATCAATTTACGCAACTCAACGTCACATGAGGTCGCACTCTCCCGCTATGGAGTTGGAAAACCCGTACGGCCACTTGCCAGCTCGGCCGAAATCGAGAGGAGCAATGACACACTTCGGTCCAGCGGTGGGTGGATTCAGATTTCGGTCCTCTACGGCCTCGGTAGAGTTCACACCTTCCATTTGAATCCCGCTACGATTGCGAACGTCGGACTCAATCGATTCATTTCCTTACAGTCCCTCGCAAGCCCCTATGAATTCGACCCGAACAAACAGGCTTCTCTATTTGGTTCATACCGAAATCCGGGAACGACTCGGAGCATGAGACCTGTGTTCAACGCTCACTGGTAGTTCCGCCTCTTGGAGCGAGTACAAAAATTGAAGCCACAAACAACTTCAAAGTTCTCATCCTCCGACGCTCCCGCCAAGCAGCAAGAGACGTAAATAGGACAATAGGGTATTTATTCTTCTGATGATGAATGAGAGGAGTGGCTGTACATCAGGATTCGATCGAAAATCTTCCGCTCGAGCGATTGATTGACTGGCTGGTGGATTGATTGAGTGATGGATGCAAGGATTGCAAACTGTTCCGATGCGTTCGATGAGACGCCGATCGGATTCGTCCTCTACTCAAGAGCTGTTCACGAAAAGTAGCGAATAGAATCAATTAATCGGGAGCGACGGATGAGACGGGGAGGTTCCGTCGATATCGCTCGATAGCTAATTGCTGCGCACCGCCTTTTCCCCACGAACGGGGAAAACTCCTGCGACCTGCTACTCAACGAAAGTGCGACTGTTATCCGACAGTTGTTCCTAATGCATGTTCTGTACATAAAATTGTAAATAGAATGATGATGATTTTTCCGAAAGGCGCTAGCTGAATCTGTAATCTAGTTGATCTTCCTGAAATAAATCGCATAGTCATAGGAGCAAATAGTCGGTTTTTTTCTAAACGGGCCTCGTCTGCTCACGGCAGTGAGAATTCGACGATGGCCTGACCGCGCTCCCAAGATCGGATAACTGGTGTAGCACCATTCTCTGACTTGCAAAAAAATCCACCCACGGAAGGAGAATGGTCTCCGGGAAAAAACGACTCCGCCTGCCCCTAGACGGGCTCCGGAAACACAGCGCGAGTCCGAGAATTCATCTGATCCCATGACCGATATCTCGCTCCGATTTATTCCCCTCCACATGCCTCCCCGTGTAGGTTCATATTTGCACCAGGGTGAGTGAGCTTTGACCGAAAGGCACATTATTTACATTCGATTGGGCTTGCGTTCCTTGCTCGGCTGCTGTCAGGTCCGAGTCCGAGAGTGAGCTTGTGGAGCTATTTGGGTACGTTTGGGGCTCTATTTCCCGGGACAAGCGTGCGGACGGGAACCACGGGAACGCGAGTCTGTAATGGTATCTGCTGCTAAGAGTCTCTCCCTTCATCAAACGCGGGAGCCGCTGTTTTCGGGCTCCCCAGGCTCGCTTTGGCGAATCGAGTAGATTCGGGTTTCAGGAAAATAAATAATGAATAAGCGAATAATTCGAGACTCACGGGAGGAGAAGTCTGAATTCTTCGGCGAACACACAGAAGAAGATAAAATCTACGCCGAAGCTCATCAAGTACGTTTCGCAGGCCATCAGGACGAAGTCGGGGAGGAGGGTTTTACCTTTGTAGAATCTCGCGTGGAATTCGATGATGAGCTGCGCGAATCCGAGAATGAGATTGGGCTTATCGGAGAATCGCAGACGCGGGGGACCAATGGGTTCTCTGAGATCCTCAGAGACCAAATGATGGGCGTGGAACGAGGAAGTACCTCGAGCGATTATCGGTACTCACCCAACACGGGAACACCCAGCATACACTTTTCAACACAAAATACATAGACAACCGGTTCGATCTCCAGATCGTGAGCATCGCTGACAGGAGGGTGTTCGATCGCACAAGCCACCGAAGTTGCAAGAGGACTGGAACCGCCAGTAGGCAAAATACTCCGATATCGATCAGTATCGAGCGGTACCAAACACCGAGGGGAACTCCGAAGCAGTGACCGTTACCACCTGCGTACATAATTGCACAATGCGTATTGAGAACTCCCGGAACGGCATCATCTGCTGGAAAGAATATGCTCAAATTGCGTTCTTCACTCACTCATGGTAACTGTCCAACACGAGGGCAGAGCAAGCAGCAATCCGATGCACCAAACCCATTCACAGAGGCGCGAGAACCGTTTCCGCATGAACCGTGTCCATTTTGAGGAGCTGTGCATGGCGCACAGATATTGATGAAGGGAAAATAAGCCGGCCAGAAGATAATGGACGATCAGTCCCGTCTGACTGATGTGAACTAAAGCATGACACAAGGGGCCCTCCAATGCGGATGAGATGTAGAGGCCTGCCTCGATTGAGAACCAGTTAATATAAATCGGGCGAATATCCACCGTTCGATCGGTCACCGAAATGCGTGGAGTGCATCCATGCGGATGGGACGAGCAACAGGGTGCCACTCACCGAAGTAATACTCGAAGTCGAGAAAGCTCCGTTCGAACATGAATGTCAGCATGTTTGCCACGGCTGAGTGCCGAAGAAGAACGAGGGCTGGAGAGTCCGGGTTGGGCATCGCGTACGATGCCCGGAGAACGAACAGGGTGAGAATGCTGTTGACGAGACCGAAGACGCACACCACATGATGGATTTTGTAATAGAACGTTACGTCGTATACGAAGTCGGCGAGGCCGAGATAATCTGCGAAAAAGCCACGGAGTCAATCGCGGCCGTCACGAACATTTCTTGTCCCAGTTGTCCGCGAACTCCACAGCGAGAAATATTGAGATCTCCGAGGGGCAGTCGGTGCAGGTGGAAGCAGATGGAACGTACCCTCATCATCGGTCGGGTCATGTGCCACGCTCATCGTGGTCGCCGTCACAGATCACTCTTTCGTCGGAGCATCCCGCACCGTCTCGGAGCTTTGATTGAATCTGTTCTCCAAGTAGCGATTGTTCGACGTCTCTCCCCGCGCTAGTGAATGAATCAAGAAGATCTACACAAGAAAGTAACACACATAATCCTCAGCGAGAGCGTCGATGCCGTAAAAAGATCGCTTCCCGAGGCAATCACGACGTCGGTAGTCTAATAATAATAATGCGCTCTCCACAATGCGCAGACTCGAATATGAGAATATGAACCCCACGCCCGAAATAAAGTCGGCAGTTAAGGTTGGATTTTCGTGATCAGCTTCGGCGGCACCGACGTTGCGCTCAGAAAATTTTTCCACAGGAATGGAGGACCCCCGACAAACGTTTATTCTTCGGAGAGAGCGTCGAGCCTGGATCGACTCATTCGAGTGCCGTGAGCTGCTCCGGGAGAACGGAATTTCCCGACGGGACCTGAATCCCTTATTTTTTATGCTGCGGCCTCCGCGGCTTCCCCTCGTTTTCGCCCACCCCTGCGCCGCTCATTTCTCGATCAGATCGAACAGCCCTCCCGTTTGTGGCTCGAATGTATGTAGATGCAAAGACTCGGACTCCTCGAGTCCTAGCTCCATGAGCTCACTAAATATTTCTCCTGGATCACCGTGTGGCCACATTTCTCTAATCCTCAGGTATTACCGAACACAATTGCGGCTTTGCCTGGAGATTTGCATACTGCAGCTCGAACGCCCGTGTCTCGATGCGTAATAGAGCGGAGGTGAGGGTGGTCGGTGGTCACACGTAAGTCGACTGCGGGATTTCCTACCTTGGCCATGCTAATCTCCACGGAACGGTTTTGAGAATTCGACCGCGCAAAGCTCGCGTCTTTGACTCAGTTACGGGGAAATGTATTCAGAAGGGGTGGCGTGGCTTTCCCGCGCTCCCTAAGCGCTGAAGAGGGTCGTGTCTGATGCGTCCCCAGAAACTGAGGCAGCAGCCAGGATACGCCGGAAACGGTGCAGGTCTATCCGGGTATCCCGAGTGGGCACATCTCGTCTTTCGCCTGTACAGTATCACCCAGTACCTTCGAAGTTCTGATGGAGGGTTCGGAACTGGCTATTCCTAGGACTCAGCGCGGAGAGAGCTGCAGACTCTCCGGTAATGCCCGGGAGAAACCATAGGCGGGAATCGAGCGAGATCTCGAACTCCTCCGGACTTTCCCCAGGGTAGATATGGAGTCGGATCGAGTCGGCTCTGAGCGACATTTTTGGAAGAGCCCCATCATTGTTACTTCTGGGAGGTGGTTCTCCGGACCGCGCGGCATCTCCTTGCAGACCCTCAGACGCGTCACTTTGCTGGATTCACACGCTTTGAAGGATTATCTAGGAAATCTCTTTCACTGTACAACTTTACCGATATCGATCACGGCAGGTAACTCAATCCGTTGGCATTTCTCTCTAGCTCCTAAGGTGACTCTCGGTCTGCTGTTTTATCCAATTCAAAACCACGGGCTCGCTGCAGAATTTCGCAACGGGTTCCAGACCCTGACTTCAACGATGAAGTTCCTGATCTCTTTGTGCATTTTGCTCGCCGTGTTCTACCAGGCTCTCGGCGGTAAGGTTCACGGTGAGTAACTTTCGGAGCAGAGTTCCGAGCCAAAGCATGGTCTTCCGATTGGGAGTGCTCCTTATAGTCTCGATCGCCGAATGTGACGGCAGCTGATAATTGAAGGCAATGAATTTTTCGATGAGCTCCTGGACGAGCTCCGTGACGCCGACGACATACGTGTGATGACCCTGGATGATCTGACCATCGGTTTCAGTCGGAAGGTCAGTTCAAATTCAGAATTTTGAGACGCCGATCGGACAAATCAAGGGTGCTTCCCATTCCGTATCGCTCCGGGAACCCCACTTCCGATCCGACTGCGAGCGCGCAATCCTTTTCAGGTTGCTCTCTTGACGGTTCACGGAGAGGCCAAATTGTACGACGGTACCGTGACAGGACTGGACACCGCTGAGAGGATAGGTACCACGAGCGGCTGAATTATTGGAGTTTAGCTGAATCGGAGAGTAGAATTCTGCACCCTGATCCGAGCGGATACTGATTCTGGAATCCGTTCTTAAGACGACGCGCAGATAATCACCCGCAAGGACGGAAGCGTCGTGATCAGATGCACTCTCGGCATGGGTGTGATAATTTTCAACTACAAGGGTACTGTGAGCTTCATGGGGCTCGGACCGAGTATCAGCATGCTGACCCACACTGGATACGTGACGGTGAAAGCAGAAGTTCAGCGCGCCGCCAACGGGACCGTGAAAGTCACTGAATTCAATGTCCGGTGAGTCCCGATCTCCTCTTCCGAGATCTTCCCACAGCTGTCTACGAGAATGCAACGATGGAGAGTGAAGGAGGAGCAGCAGTGCGGGCATTCTTAATCCACCGGCAATCTTCGTGACAAAGATTCTTGACCACGGCGGAGACCGATAGTCGGGGAGGGTGCGGGGATTCCCCTCCTTCCCCGGACGCGGGAAAGGACTCAGGATACCTCGTGCGAGGGAACCACTTGGTGGTACCGATTAATGTTCATTGGAAATTACAGGGACTTCGAGAAACTCAAGGTCAAGTTCACCGGTCTGGGTCCCTTAACTTGGGCCACCAGCCTCCTCATCGCTCCAGCCGTGAACATCCTGACCCCGATAATCAGGAGAACCGTCGAATACGGAGTTCGGACGGTTGTCGAGAAGAAGCTGCCGGACATCATAAAAGATTTCAGTTTCGAATAAATGGATGACTTCAAGGTTTCGCTGACGGAAAATATGAGCGTCCTTAACTATCCACTGATGGATCATATGATCGCTCCCCTCCTCTTAGAATATTCCGCTATAGCAGGAATTCGCAATCGTTGTGCTACGGTAGGTAGCTCCGACTCCCCACTGATTATTTTGGCGTCAGAATCAGAAGATGGAGCTCCTTGCCGACGTACGATCCGGGATCCGGCCCTCATTGACCGAGTCAATTGACACCACCTTGAATCCTCTGATATTCGGACGGCTCGAGGGATAGCTTCATGCGCTCCCTTTGGGTTCTACGCACAAAGACCTATCCGGCGGTGGCTTACCGTGGGTACCTGCCTGGCCGGTTATCGAGGCTGTGGGGGCATCATGCTGTCGCGTGTGGAATGCGGAAGCGTACAGTCCGAGGGACATGATTTCCCGCGATTCTTCCCCGTAATCTTCAAATGCCGAACTCGACATTGTTGACATCCGCGGCGACCACTGGCCTTCTCTTCATTCCAATAACTTGTCGATATCTCGCTGAGAAGGCTGCTTGAGAGATCCCCCGGAGTGCATCCCCTCCCGATTACTATCCGACAGGCCAATATTCCGGGGAGCTACCATCGGACTCCCCATCGCAGCGATCCTGTACGGAGATTCCCCGGAGAGATCACAGCGAGAGCGAAGAAGGGACGCGTTGAGATTATTATTGATTTGCCCAAATCAAGCAGGATTGACCCCACCCAGGTTTTTACCACAATCGTTCTCTTTCCGTCGTTCGTTTCCTACCCATATCTTCGCTTCCCGAGCCGTAACTTCATGCCGCGACGACGTACGATCTGCATGAATCATGACTGATGACCGGTATCGCGGACCGTACTGACGGGATTCGAGAACGGATCCCCGAACGAACAAAAATCCTTGCCACTCGCCTCTGCCCGGGTGTTCCCATTCCCGATCTCTAGCGTATCGACATTGACTTCAAACAACGACGTCGGGTGTTTTCGGGGTCCAGGAGAAGCTACGGTTATGGGAGGTCGATATTACGCTAGCAACCCCTATGCCCCTTACCAACCTCAAGACTACAACTACTGGGGTGAAGAAGCTTACAACATCCAAGGTCAAGACGCTTCCAACATCCAGGGGGAAGAAGCTTCAAACCTCCAAGAGGGAGAAGGTTCCACCGTTCAGGATGAAGGAGGTGATAATAGATTGCGCCGTATCGGATACCGCCGGAAAATTTCGTCCTCCGAATACAGCGCCTGACACACAGATAATTTCAAAGCGAACCGCGACTTGGGTGATCCGCTCAAACTCCAACCTGCCAAATCGTCATCGTGCCGGAAGCTTTTATTCTGCATCGCCGTGCTCTCCATAGTTGCTTACTCAGCGAAGTTCATTATGGATAAATCCGGCATAGAAAGACCCTTCGTAAGCAGCCAACCTGCGCAAACGGGTATGCTTCGTCGACTCTTCCGCTCGAAGATCTCTGGACATACTGACTGAAATTAATGCTCAAACATGAAAATCCTGGCGCGAGAATCTCGCATTGGAAAATCGTCGGCATGCTTTGAACTTCTACCTTACAGGAGACATCGAATCGGGGGGCCAGTCTGGGGATGAAGGTGACTCCTCAATCAATTGACGTCATACTCAACGAAAAAAAAATCCAGAAGAACGCCACCCGTAATAATTGTGTGATCCGTTCCAGACTCTTCCGCGGCAGACGAAGAGATCCGAATGATGATCGAGGAATCTTTCTCAAATATCTCGAAGGCATATCTAGATGTCCGCCAAGTTTATTGGAATAGCGAGCTCGAAAGCCGATTGTATGACATCTACAGCGTATATAATGTGCGTCTGAAGATGGATAGAGCCAGTGTTTTGGAATTAGAACCGAATTCAACTCGTGTCTTCCACGGTGAGATCTCGTCAGCTGTTCACAAGGTCTTTCTGAGAGCGAATAATCCCTGGATTCGTATGAACGAGATTTTCGCCACACAGGGAACGGGTTGAAGGCTTCATGCTTGATTTACTTGAGATACACGCTCTTACACGGAGGATACAAAAGATGGCTCAAATACGATGGGTTCGATTGCTGGTTCAATGCGCCAGTGACACTTCTGTTGAGAGTGGAGCTCCCAACGTCCCCGGGAGCCAAGCTGACATTCCTGAGTCTTCACGTGAGCTCCGAGACTTTCTTCATGACTGCATCTCGTAGGAGGGCGGGATTCGCTCGGCTACCAAGTGAGCGCCATATGCATGTCTCTCGCTCACAGTTGCAGCCCTTGCCGGAGTCTGAGTGCGAAGGCGTACCATGGAAATGGCAATTCTGGATGCCGTCGAGAGCTCAGACGATAGCAGCGATCAAGGTCCTATTCAGGGATTATATGAGAGTGTACGTGCGGGATGTTATCAAACCTCATATCAGAAGCTTTCTGTAATTATGTGATCTCACTCGGGATTTTCCCCGATCGATTGGAGGGAAGAGCTCATGAAACTACTTGGACCATTAGCATTGAGGTTTTCACTTTTGTATGTTTTGCTATTCATGCGAGTTTCCGCGTCTCCTGGTCGTCGAGCTCCATGCTCTGAAGTGTAATACGTATATTTCGAATGAAAATGTTGTCAGTACTGAGAATTTGAAGATTTTGCTGATGTTGAAGATGAGCTTCTTAGAGGCTGATCGATTGGAAAATTGCATGTGGAGGTCGTAAGAAGATTCCCCTTCTTGGGACGAGAGCTGATCTTCACGGGAGGAAATTCGTCCAAGTTCGAGAGCTCCCGCAGTCTTCGGGCGATGGTCGATGTCTAGGCTCGCAGCACGGCTAGAATGCATGGTGCCTTTCACTTCTCACAAGCACATGCGACCCCCCTGTGGGTGTTGGAGCTCGATTGTCGCGCAGTCGTTTCCGATGTTATAGAGAAAGCTGTCACGCTGAGAGCCGCGTTCACGTTTTCAGGGCTGCGTGAAGCGTGCCGACTGGTGAGCGCAGAAGCCCTTCGACGAATGCTTCGTCTGCATTATAAAAAGGAAATCATAGACACCGGGAAATTTTGCTAATCGACGCGGCTGAATATCCATCGAATCCACAGATATCAGCTACGGCTCCCACGTTCACTTACCTCAACGCTTTACGAAAGTTTACGCTGATCATGTAGTAGATCAACGGATGGGCGAAAATCGACATCAAGCTCATAGTTTCCAAAATTTTGGGTTGCACGGCGCTGTCGCGGAGGAATCGTGACATCTGGAGAGGTTCCCGGAGAATCTGAGAACGCTATCGACCCATCGATCTGGCTCAAGATCGGAGGATCTTCCCTCTTTGACTGTCTCTCGGAAACCAGACTACGCTCACCTTCTGCGGCGTCGTGCACATGATGTAGGAAGCGATCAGAATCACAACGAGAAGCACAATGCGTTTCATGGAGCCCGTGGCGTACTTCGGAGGTGCTGACCGCAGTTTGATCAAAAGAATCAAAGACACAAGGACGAGAGCACTGACTTGGGTCAAGAAGAATGACTCCGGAAGGTAACTGGGGAGGTGAATCATCAAAATCGGTACGAAGTCTCTATACATAAATCCGGAACCAATCTCCGCGGGGATTGTCGAATTTTACCTCCATAACGTCTGGTGGAGCGCCACCTCACACACTCGCGATCCCTCCTCGAAAAAAAGACCGAAGAAGCTGTGAGCTTGACCCACAGCCGCCAACAGGCACGCCACGAGCGTGCACAGGGTCGGGTTTCTTTGAAAGGAAAAATGCGAGGAGTCTCCCGGTGCTCAACCGCGTCGATCCATCCATATTGATATCATTATCCTGCAGTGAAACTCGGCTCGGGAATGAAACTCACCGTTTTAAGTACAGGGTACTCGGACTCTTCGGAAGAACGATCGTCATGGTGCGATCGAGCACCATGATCCACAGGATGGCGGAGACGCTGGTCGTGAAGAACTCTCGCAGGAAGCGCACCGAAGTACAGAAGAGAGAACAAGTGGACGGATACGTCTCAAAAGCAGAGAAGTTGTTCCTTCCAAGCCTTTGCTCTGTAAATTTCCCTCGAATAATTCAACCAGAGCGTAAGTCGAGCCTTCTCTGGGGCATTCTGTCGGTCCCCATTGTTGTGCTCCCTGAGCTGAGGAAACTCACGTGTATGAGCCTGACAATCGAACGAAACCAGTGGCCCTAAAACTAACACGGTCCATAAATGAACCACGAAAAGGTTCCTGACCAGAGTGTTGATGGTTGATCTCAGCAACTTAGGCACATCATAAAACACCACCAAGGCGACCGCATTCAGCACTAGACCGATTATGAGGAACAACAATGTCAGAGTTGTAACGGAGTAGCTCAAGGCTATGTCCGAATCCATGTGCTATCCGTCGCGAATGAATCTTTGCGTCGGAGTGGAGAGAGCGTCGCTGCTAAAAAAACTCTTCCGCGAAATTCCTCAAGACGCAGGGTCTCACGGGGCGCTCGGCAGCTGCATGTGGTCGTTGCGAGTCTGGATCAGCTGAGAGATACGCCGAGCTGGTCTGATCAGAAAATAAATTCTTTCGCGATGGTCTCTGCAGTCCCGAGAATCTTGGGGGCGTACTCCGACGTCATTACTTCAAGGACGCCCTGAATATTCTTTGGAGAGAAGGAGTTTGCGGTCTCAGGGGATTCGATCCACCATCGAACTCCGCCCCACGATCGCGATAAACAAATGAAAATTCAGTCAGCAATATACACAGTTGGAAACGTTGGGAATTTATTCCATCTTACAAGCATTCAGAACAACAAAGCACCCGTCCCGGCACTATCTCGGTACGTTTAACATTAATCGCGATTTGGCATCGTTTCCAATCAAGGACTGCGGGGGATATGCTGCGGGACGCCTTTACTTCAACATGTTTTTACAAAATCACATCGCCTTCTTAAAGCTTTCTCTCCAGAAATTCCAGGAATCCCAATCGATCAAAACCGCCCTTCCGACGGCGGCAAAGTTCGCAAGGTGGTATCCCGGCGACGTACCCGGCGAGGATTACGGACCGTACTTCACTTGGTACATTTTCCTCTCGATGAGGAAGATCTTCAGAATTTCTCTGATTCCGAGAGAACCCTCCGTCGCTATTCTGGGGACGACTCGCAACTCTCGGTGTGGACCCCCACGATTGCGCACCGATTCTCCAGCATGTGATCATTCCTTCACGGTTATGTCACGCTCACGGTGATGATGATCTCTGAGCCATTCTATCGCAGCGTGGACAGAACGCTTTGCGGTTGCGGTAGCATTCCCTGTGATAGACTGCCAGACAGTCCGGACATCGCGAGGTCAGCTCTCTGCTCAGAGGGAAAATAAGTTCCTTCGACGAACACAACTCACAATGATATCCTTTCCCCATGCAGCTCTGCAATACACGACGGGCTGTTACCATCGTTCGTTTGGATGCCTCGAATCGGGAAAGAAGGTCCCCGCCGGATCCACCCGGCGACTTACCTCACACTCTTTTGTGATGTGAGCCTCGTAGACTTTCGCCACTTGCTGGAGATATCGGATGAGGGTTCCCGCCTCGAGGTCCTGGAGGTCTTGCATCGAGTAAATCTGTGAGTTTTCGACGAAATGATGCCGTTTGTTCAGCAGCCACAGGAGCTTCTTCGATCGGGCGATGTGGCAGCTCGTTAGGTACTGCTTCATTTGTTGTAGATCTTCCCGCAGGATCTGGGAGAGTTGAGGAACTATTGAGTTTTCCCAGTAGCGTCTCAAATTGGAAAAAAAAATCGAAAACTTCCCCGGACCCGACCCGAGAGGTCCTTGAACAAAATTTATCATCGGAACTCAATCGAAATTCAGTGTTCTACCTTCACAGCTGGGAGCTCTTCAACGTGCGTAAACAGGTACGGGTTCAGTTTCTCCACGTCGAGCACCGGTCGCTTGAGCATGAGGCGTAAGAACTGGACGCATCCACGACATACCTACCAAAAAGCCGGAATCAGTATCATGTCGAGAAACTCCGCGACCAGACAGAGGATGGGAGAAAGGTCGCTCAGAAGTCCTGTCGACAGAAAAATCCATCCAGGTGTCGAGATAGTCATCACATCGAGGGAATACCTTTCTTGGTACGAAGTCCCAGTTGTGGATCACCCTCGCCGGAATCACCATCTCCGTGTTCCAATGGCAGTACGAGCAGAACCATCGCCCGCAGGAGTCGCACAACCGCCTGGCCGCCTCCATTTGCGGCAAAAGTTTCAAACCCGGGGAGAAGAGAGGGGATCGGCATTCGAAACATTTAAATTGTTGCACTGAGAGTCCCATTTCCGGGCAGATTTCAAACTCGTAATCGTGTGATTTCAGGTATGCACAGCTCCTTGTTATCGAGTTGAGGCACTTCTGGTGGCATTTATATCGACACTCTGGAAAATTTTGAATTCAATGATGATGAAACTGGCTGCCTATCTCTCAACGAAGGAGCGGATGAGGATCGTAGTGGAATCCATGTACGTGAATCAGGGTCGAGACCCGTTTCCGCGATGGCCAACGTGCTACTCACTATCACAGGTGTAGTATTGATTGAGTCCCATATTGACGAAATCCCAAATCCTTGTGCAGCATTTTTCACAATACGAATCAGTCTCATCTAGTTTCCCCGACACGAAAACGTGGCCCATCACGGTAAAGGATTGTTCTAGGATAGGAGTCTGCGGCCCGTTCTATTGAAGGAAATAATGATTGTCATGAGATAGGGAGCATTGTACTCCTCCGGCAACTCCTCCAAGATTCCTTCGATACCGCGTATCTTACTCTGATCTCCTGTAGGTTCCATCGTAACTCCACCAGTTTCCGTATGAGATTGTATCTCCTGTCGGATTTCTCCTCCGACTCCAGTATCATCTGTTTACATTTATCTATCGCCAACTCGAGTTCTGATGCGGAACTCATCGAAGAGAACGTCGAGTCCAATCCAGCGAAATATTGTTCATTTATGATCGAAAGACTCCGAGGTCGGACAGCTGTAATTAAATAAGGGGCTCCCTGTTATCAGAGTCTCGTCGATCGTAGTATGGAATTTGAGCAGGGGAATATTGACAGGGGTGAACGATTTCTAGGTATGAGCCTGGGTGTCAGAGGGCGAATCTCATACCTGGTGGGGATGGCGAATCCTTCCGAGGGTCATCACCAGTCAGCGTTTTCTTCACTAATTCTCCGACGCGCCCAGCGAATTCCGAAACTCCGAATGAGTTCATGCTTCCTCCGAGGATACCTGGATAGGATCAACGGATGAATGTAGAATACGTGTCGGTTCAGGACCTGAGAGTACTCAGCGAAGAAATTATCAATATACCAGCACTGAAGAGGCGCTCTTGGGCGGGCTTATTGAAGCGCGAGGTTTCAGAGCCCCCCTGTGGGCTCTCAGATAATGAAATGGCGCTTCTTCTTGAATGGTCTATACATCATGCCTTCCCGAGATCCTTATGATTCTCGGGATTGTACACATGTCAGGACTCGCACCAAGGATTGATTCCGAACAGCTTGACGCTGCTCGAACGACGAGTTTCTGTGAGTACCGGACGCTTATTTCGAGCACCATTGCTTCGATGACATTTTCGTCAAGCCAAAGCACCGAGCGTCCAAGGATGGGATGGAAAATTACCGGAGCAAGAAGGTTTCGAGGAATACGCAAAGCCCATGTCCGGACTTGCTGTTCACCTCACAACAGTCAGCTGGGCGAGATTTCGGCAGTTTTTCTATGCGGAGATTCCGCTATGACAAGCAACTCAATTACTCACCCGTTCAGGACTTCCGGTAGCTAACACTGACAACTACTGCCTTTGTCTCTCAGAGAGGTGAAGCTTTCGCGATATAATCATCACGGACTTCTTGCAACGCAACTTTCAAGCCTCATCTTAAAACTCGGACGAGTCGCCTAAAAGACGGAAACAGCAAACTTTGTAATAAATCGCGCCGTGGCGCGGCTCACGGAAGGAAACAGTTTCAGACTCTTCCCGCTTCAAAGGTTTCCAAGTTGGAGAAATCTGAATCTACGTGCAAGGCGGGCCTGAGGATCCTGAGGCATCCGTTCAAAGGGGAGGAAGCAGGCGATACAGTCGTTGAACTTCAATCAGTTCGGAGAGCCTCTCTCCTCTCTTATTGGGAGTGCACACGAGCACGGGACGAGAACATCGACCAACAGCAGAACCTGTCGCGGGAATTAAATTCCCTACTCAAAAAGGGAACTCTAAGGTGGCTTTGGATTTTACAGAGAGCAGCCTCTCTAGAGTCTAGATGACATCCCTCGCTCTACCGCTAAGCGAGTCAACAACATTCTGAGAAGATCAGCAGAGAAAACGTTCCCATACAGCAGAGCCGGGGCCCACTTATATGAATTCGTGAACCTGAATTTATCAACTCGGTTCCGCTCCGGGTGCTGGATTGCCATAATACGCCACTGATTAGTTCAGATTTCTCCAATACCAAATCTTAACGGAATCGTTTGGATACGTCTTACTCGAGAGAGGGCTGAACGGGGTGATTCGGTGATTTCCGTGGATCGTACAAAGTTCATGAATCTCTTCGATGAGTATTTCACTCATGGGATACTCAGAGCCTGATAGCAAATCAGACGAGGCGGAATGCTACTTTTGTCCAATCAATCCCTTACGCTGATTGATCGCTGCTTTATTGGGGAAGACTTCGAGGACGAAATTCTCCAGAAGCTATCGAGGAGGTTATCTCGAAGGCTCGCTCCCTTGCAGAAATTCGATCCTCTAGGGCCCGGGAAAGCGAGGCTATCGAGGTACCGCGTGATCCAACGCCAAGATTCGAGTCGATATCAGCCGAACGCGCCGATCCCCGGAGGAATCCGACGATTTTCAGACACCGGGCTGCGATTCCTCCGACTGGAGCCGTGATGGACCAACAGATCTCGACGCGGAAGCGATTTGGCTCGATAGGGAAAGGTATCTAAGTTTCGATAGCAGTGAGATACGCGGCACGAAAACCTGGCACCATCTACATTCGTCTCAGCGCGAAAACCTGCATCGAAGTTGGCAGGATTCTCTCCGAGCAAAGCCAGTGATTCTCGCAAGTTCTCAGAGGTAAGCTCGCGCGAATCCCATTCCTCCACTTTTCACCAAATAATGTAGCGAATGGGGTACAGAATCCCAGAGCGGTGCGACATCCTTACGATTCACCGCTTCGACACAATAGCTCGCGACGGAGAAGCTCCTCGAGCTCTCTATAATAAGCTTCGAGAAAATTCACGCTCGCATCCACTCGAGGAATTAGCTTGCGCCCGAGACGTTTGTTTTCATGCATGCTTATCCTACAAGGCTGCCAATTGTGGCTGATCGACGACAGTCAAGTCTGTTCGAGATATCGTTGAGGACCCTCGCGGACGTCTCTCGAGTCGTTAAAGACGAGACCTTCAAAATTTCAGACCCAAGCTCGAATATTTCGACGAAGCTTTGAATAATGGTCGGTCCCAGACGATAAGATACGCTCTGGAATATTCAAGAACGGCTCGGAGATCGTCATGGGCTCCGCAGTGGGGAAGCACAACGATTCTCCACGCTCTGTTGATCTGTTCATACCGATTTTCGAGAAATATCTGTGGGGCGGAAGCCTTCGAACGAGGGACTAGCCAAGTCGAGCAATGAGAGACGCGGTTTCAATCGGTCTTCACGTTTGAGTAACGAACATTTAAAACGTTCCCTTTCCAACAGTCTCACTTTCGACCGAAAGAAGAGATTTTGGTCTTGCAGTCATAAAAATCGGAGCTGCTCCACCTCTGCATCAATAATAATCGCACCCTGATTAATCGTGCGAGATAAAAAAAATTATCCGTCACACCTACGGAGCTCTCGGAGCCTTCGAGAGGCGAGCGCTCTCACTTTCGATCCTGTTCAATGGCATGCGAGATGACCTTAGGAATACGCCTGAGGTAATGACAGTAAAGTTCTCTTCTAGTGTCATCTCGGGGATCCCAGACTAGTCAATCGTCCGCAATCTATTATACGATGTCGTTGTAAATGACAGACGGTCTAACCTTCTCGCCTAGAGACGAGGAATACCAGAATTGAATCCTGCTCAAAACCGCTTGACCGAGGGTTCGGAAGCGAAGCAACTATTCAAAGTAGGCTCGGTGCGGGATCGAGTGCGACAGACTATGAAGGATTTAGTAGCCGAAAGCGGAAAAGGCCCGTCGGGTGAGGCGCCCCTAGACCCTCCAAAAAGGAAAATAAGGTTGGTTTTTTCCCATTCAATTTTGAAATTCCGCTAATCTTTGGATTCAAGGGCTAGGCGAGCCTTGTACATTGCTTTTGCTGAGAAGAGCCTCTGAAGAAGCGAGACCTCCTCCTCGTAGAACGCTCGTCGAAGTGATTCTCATTCAAGAGGAGGGGAGCTCAGCCCGCAATTCTTCCGGAGTCCACTGATCGGAACTGATCGGGGACAGTGCTTTCAGCGTGCTCGACCGATTATATGCTGTCGCCTCCTTCAAGAGCCAAGCCGACGATCTCAATTCTCTGGCCGCGCTCCCCGAGATCACCGAGCAAGAAGTCCGACTCCATGGGACCCCCCAAGACTGCTGGGTCATAGTGAATGAATTAGTTTACGATATCACCGACTTTATGCAGAAAGTGAGTGCCGCAACGGAATCTAGATTCAAAGCCACTGTCTAAATAACTTGTTGGAGCCGATGCATTCGTTCTCGTCGCGGAGCTCCGCCATGCTGACCGCACCGAATTTTTTTCTCTTTGATGCAGCATCCGGGAGGATCCGAAATTCTCTGGGAGCACCTCGGCCATGATGCGACCTTTGCTTTCATCGGTGCCGGACATTCGAAGAACGCGTATAGGATGATGGATAAATTTTTGCTCGGTAGACTCGTTCGCGATTGACCGTGAATCAGGACCATATGGACGACTTCTCATCACATTGACTGTAAACTGATCCCGCACGACTTCATATCCATGTATGCGTTCTGTCAAGATAGATAGATTCCGGATAGGGACTCATTCCCTTCCCTATCGAGGATGGGGACTCATTCGCTCCGTCACCGTCGCACACGCCACGAGAAACACCGATTCAGGCTCCAGGACACTCTCGTCGGAGTGGTGCTTGAGCAGAAAATTATACAAGGAGGCCTACAAGCTCATCGAATCAACTTATTAAAACTAAAACACACCGATTCGACATTGTTTTCTTTTATTCATAATTCCGAGGATCTCATTCAACTATGCATTCCTTAGTCAAGCACATTTGCTTCTGTTCCGTTTCGTCAATCATTGTACTATGCACCGGAGTACGGCGAGTCGTCGTAGGGTTTTTGCGACCATATCCGCTCCGGAGCCAGAACATTCAATCCAATAGCAGAAGGATTCATCCGAGAAGAAGTCCTTCGATTCGAAGCTCGTAGCAGGCCGAGCTGGTCTCTTTACGCATAGCTCATTTTCTCAAGAAACGCTGAATGGGTATTCGAACGCTCATCCGTCTGCTTCGGTGGCAGCATACTTTCAATATCACTACATTGTTTCAAAAAGTTGTTTTTACAGTCGACTAAAGACTTTCACATTCCTCGTATCCCTCGAATAATGACCACACAATGGCAGATAGACCCGATTGATGCCACATTCAATCAGGCGGGACCGACGGATGGGGTGTGAATGAAGTGTGGAAGTGAGAAATTTGGGATTGAAGAAGCTTCGCGAAGAGCTGAATGGGTTCCGATGTAACGCTCAGTGCGTGTGAAGGAGAAGAGGAGCCTCGGAATGACCTTGGAATGTTCGGATCCAGTTGGCGGCACATACCCGCTGCATGTCGCAGAGCGAGTTTCCCTCCATAGATTCGCCGGATTCTCGAACGATTTCGAACGCCACCAGCTGCTTGATGATGGGTCGCCCAACCTGACTCTAATGGCAGCTCTCTCCATCTGTCTCTGTTATATTATCGTAGTAAGTAGCTTTCAGTCTGGGTGAGAGGGAAGATTGGAAAGGTTTGAGCAATCGTTTAATGACGTGCATATGGGTACGAAATTCAAGGTGACCTTGAAAGTGTGTTCAACGCAAGAAGTCCATCTAAAGATTGCTAACGATTCACTAGAATTGATAGAGCGAAGAATGTTGTCCACTATTCTATGACATGGCTGTGAAGACCGCGTTGTGACGACATATGCTAGGTCCACACTCCTCGTATTGGGCTTTCGTGTGGCACACCGTGTAAAATTCGGGCTGAAATTCAGAATTTTCCTCAGATATCGAGCCGATCGTTTGCTCTACCGCGTGGGAATCTCCATTGTGGAGCGATGAAATCCTCTTTATGCCTCTTACTTTCTGAGCGAGACACTCACCATAGAAGCCAACATGGAGCCTCCGAACCAGACGGCATATCTTTGCATGTGATGAGATACAACAGTGACATCGATGGGTTTAGGAGTGATTCGTCCGCCGCTCAACTTGACCGACTGCTTCAGCCTCGCGTCGACCACGCGCTTCACGTCTCTCTGGAGCCGTCGTCCGAAGTCGCGGAACATTGTTGACCCACCGGACAGAACGATATTCTGCAATGAAACGATTTCTGATATACTCTGAATATACTCTCACTCCGTATCGGGATCACAGAGGAGACTCCCCGAAGCGCCTGCGATATGCCAGAATGCTTCAGAGAGCTCAAATCTCGAGGGCGAGAGAGGTGAGTCTAGAGCACAGAATCCGGCATCCCCGAGACCTACGTTATACAAGGGTCGCCGGACGTCGATCGGACACGACTGTATGCAAGTGTCTACGATTTCCGAGATCGGAGTGGTGAAATCGGGATTCGCGAACTCGGGATGGAAGAAGATCTCGGGACCCAGGAAGCGTTCGTAGCCGACATCGACGCCGAATGGCTGTTTCGTAACGTGGTTGGTACTCTGATATTGCAAGAACCACTTATCGGGCTCCTTGTCGTATTTCGCGAATTCTCTCGCGATGTCGGGGCATATGTAGCAATACCTCTCTTTGATAGCCTGGAAGGGGGATGGGATGAGTACCCGACTCTCAGCGTTATCAGCACGAGTGATCGCTCGCTTCGCAAGTGAGTAATAGAACTTCACGTGTAATCTTCAACATGATCACCTCAATTCTTATGCATCATGGCGTCTATCAAGATCGTGGGAGCGAGACTCACTTTGGCAGTTTCGAGCGATTGTTCGGGTGGTATGCCCGTCTCTCGTTCTCGGAGGAGACTCTGGATAAAGTAGGTGATGTTCCGTCCCGCGATCGGAATATGTTTGATACAGCTGCCGACAACGTAACCGTCGGCCACCGGGATGCAATGAGTAACTCCATCGCCGCTGTCGATCACCATGCCGGTCATCACTCGTTTGCCTTGTTTGCTGTTCCAACTCGCCGCCAGAGCTAGAACCGCCTGCACGGCGATATAGAGGCCAGGTACATTGAATGTCTCGAACATGATCTCTGCCATGTATTCCCGGTTTTCTGGCGTGTTCAGCGGCGGTTCGGTCAGCAAAAAGTGGTGATCTTCTGGTTCTGCTCGGAGGTACTTGAATATACTTTGCTCCCAGAACCTGCGAATCGGCGGGATTAAGAATCTCGAATCGAGAGCAGCAATCGAGAGCTTGTCCTAACCGATCGTGGGTTGCGATGCGTGATTCTCCCTGATGATGGTGCGAACTTACTTTTCCATGAGATCCCAGTCTTCGACCATGCCGTGTCGGATGGGGTACTTGACTGCATAGCCAGAGGCTTCATTTGCTTCGTCTCCGATGTAGAAATCTAGATCTTCGACACCTCGCGTCAATCGCCGCGTGGCTGTGTCTCCGACTTTTGAATTTTCTCTGATGGCGATTGCTGGGGAAATTTATCGATTGATTGATCGTCTTGTTCTCTAGAAGAGATGAGAGGAGGGACGGCACGAGACCGGACAATATCATCGCGACTGGGAAAACCACTCACATGATGGAATGATGAACTGAGGCTCCTTGTTACCAGCGTAGCCAAGTTTGGTATAGCTGGAATACAAAGTCAGGCTCGATTCTCGTTTCGATGCTTTAATGAGTATCTGAAGGGTGCCGAATTTTTTCGATTCGCTATCGTCCTCTTGGGCTCCGAAGCTCGATGCACCGGACCCGGAAACTGAGTAATCTGACCATTTCGATATCAGAGACCAAGGTAGTTTCTCCGGTATCCCGCAAGATTCGATGCTTCGCATCGACCTCAGCCCCGATGAGGCCTGTGTGACACCCAAGTGTGAAAGCGGGACTTTTCGATTGAGTGGACTTCAACTTTAACTTCGATTCGAAGTTGGGCGTGCGTGAACACTTCAATACGAACAAGGCGTTCGTTTATCCGACGATTCAGCGATGCGTACCGAGTGCCGTCATGGAGCAGCCAGCTTCCGATATGGCAACATGCTTCATAGGCGACACTCTTGATCTTATTGAGTCGCTTGTAGACAGCTGACGTCTGAGTGATCGATGGGAATATTGTTGGAACGCTGGGTAATTTATGGAGAGAATGGAGTCCTCGACAAATGTATGCCCCGTTTGGACTTCCTCCAGGTGGCGGAAGCCGGCTTCTCAAATCTCGAGCTCTTCCCTTATCCCAGCTTCCGTCTCTTCGAAGCTCCCCACCGAACTGTCGGACCGATTCCGAGCACTGATGATCAGCAATGACAGAGGATCGAATATCGCTGTAGTCAATTCCATTCTTGGTTCGATCAGTTCGGCTGCAAGAGGGGAAAAAATTGTCGCGGCCGAAGTCCTTCCGAAATTAAAACGGATGGGACAGACCGAAGTGAATTCCTCACTGACCCCAAATCCTTCGAGAAATAACCTCGCGGAGTCCAGATCTTGGTCGATTTCATTCAGATCAAGCATTGAACACTCTCGCTGTAAAGGGCTCGATAGAATGCTTGTCGCAGTGACTAATCCCTGCCATACGACCCTATTGTTAGTCATCGTACGAGACGCTGCTCCGTCTGATGGAGTTCAGCCACTCTGACCACGAATCCAGTACTACTTGAGGCCGACGGAGCCTGAGGCAAAGCGTAACTCGAACTCTCCGAGCACTATGTTGACTCTGCATTAGTCGGCACCTTGGACCACTGAGCTTACTGTCATTATTCGGCTCGGAGGTGTGAACTGTCACAACAGTGTTGAGCCATCGTCCGAGTTTCTTGACAAAAAACGAACTTTTGACAATTCAGGGTTTCTAAGCTCCCGACGGGACGTCTCCAGAATATCGAGAGAGATCATTTCGAACATGAGGCGAGTCTCGAAGAAGAATACATTCGGAAGCGGCATTCTCATAACCCCGCTCAATGGAATGACAGCTCCGCCCAATTCCCAAATCGAGGCATGCCTTCAGTGACTCCGGTGCCGCTCCTTAGAGGTGAGCTCCTAACAAACACTCGAGGGGCTCTGGCCCTGTTTCAAACTCCCAACTCCCTCGACTGATCATCACTGGCGAAATGTCACGTCGGAACCGGGATTCGAAACTTCGGTGGGCATGTGTCACTTCGACGAGAAACCTGACCGGCGGATTGGCTGAAGCTCGGGGTTGGAATCTGGCTGGGAGAAAAGAGTCGTGAAACTAACCCTGTGCCGTTGTCGATCACTATTGCCGGAAGTCGCCCCACCATGATGGACTGTTAGATGTCCACTCAGTCAGTACTCTGTTCGAACGGACGTACTGCAGCAGGCAAGCAGGCGATCAACGTAGGCTGCTCTGCTTATTGATCGGTGCTCTTGAATGAGAAGCCGAGACACACGTACCCAGTCCCAAGCATGCACCACTCAAACAACACAGGACACCCTCTCGTTTCGTCAAAAGAGCGGCGCGTGGAAATGGCCCGGGAGACTTGCTGGAGCGAACCGAGATCCCGATTTACTGTGGATACCGCGAAAGATCGAGTCTTTCCTACGAGCACTCGTTTCGACTCAAGTCAGATGAACGGAGTTCCTAGCCGACGGATCGACGAAGAATGGCTCCTATTTGATTTCCCCCCACAGAACACCGATGTGGGGCCTCGATGGACAGGGAAATCGAATCTGGAAGGGAGAGGCTTCGTCGGGAAATTCTTGATTCACAAGTTCAAGGAGTCCTTGCCGTCAACTGCAATTTTCCCCCCTGTCTTCCCCTAGCTCCAGCGTACGCGTCGAACCAAATACTTTGACAGTCATACCCAAGTGGAACGAATAACAGGAATGCGTTCATCGTAACACCCGATGCAACGTGGGGACTCTCCTCTCACCACCAAACCACAACAGCAGCCGGTAGTCGTGAGTCGTGAGTGCAGGAGGTCCCCAAAAGCTAGCAGAAAAGCAGCCCGCAGAACACACGTTACCCGAGGAGATCTTCAGAGGCTCGAGCCGCCAACGGAGATCGCTCAGGAGTGCGCATTTCTGATTCCCAACTTTTCAACAGCTGTCAACATGAGCGGGGACGCGGCGCCGATATACACTTCAGAGAAGAATGGCAACGATGAAACCGGCGATGGTGAGCGTTTATTCCATTGGTGAGAACGACGTCTAAGAGTGAGACTAAGATCAGGGATGCCGTTTCGCCTGGAAGTCTTCAATGTTGTCGTTTAATCATCGACCCGCGCGGGAATTATTTGCTCCCCGGCTACCTATTCGTCCATTTAGACTCCGGTAGCGCTCGCGGGAACATGACCATAAGTGAAACCATATCCGTAGTTGGCACGGAGTCTGTATCTCTCGCTCTCGAATCTGCGCTCCTAAAGATCACGGATTATGAAGAGGTTCCCGCTCACAGTGAGCAGATATTCCGCGCCGGATCGGGAACACGGCTGACGCAACAGCCGGGTGTCGACCGCCGGCTGAACGCTGTTACGTCCATCCCGAGTCGCGATCTGGACTTTCCCCTCTCGTGCAAATTATCAGAGGGTCTCGAGGTATAGGTAGGACTTCGATCCGGAGAGGGCGAGGATTTGGATCCTCGAGAAGTAACGGAGAATTCGCGTCTGTCGAGACCAGGAGGGAACGATTCGAATTTTTCCCAAGTTCATTAGAGGAATGAGATCGCGCTCCAGCGCTGAGCGCGGATGAGCGAATCTCGATAAGTTTCGAGCATGTCCCTACGTCATGGGGATGACGGCGACGCAGTAGTCGACGTACACGCCGTAAACAATACCACGCGTTGAGTTTCCATCCTTCCTATCTGACTCATGTTCTTTTCGTAGTGAGCATCCTATCTCATTCACTCCATGATCATTCGGAACTCTTGCTGCTCGAACCCCATCAAAATCTTCCCGCTCCATTCTGGAGTTGATCACAGCATCGACAAGATGACCAAACCTTTTTTTTCATTCCGATTTCGATGGAGCAAAATATTTCGCATTGAATAGGCTTCTCCCCCCAGGATCTCAGGAGAACCCTTTCAAAACGGTTCTGCAGGCGATGCGATCCGCGAAGCAAGAGCCGTTCCCTCCAATATTCGTCGATGGAAAAAAGGATGACGTCAAGTACGAGCCTATCAGTTCTGCCCAACTGAAGAAAATCAAGAAAGCCTGGACTCGTGAAGGTTTCAAGAACGCTGACAGGGAGAAACGTGAGGCTGAAGACGCCGAACGCCGCGAGAAGAACTTCGAGGAAGCCAAGAAGATCACCATCGAGGAAGACAAATCATTACCAGCGGCGAAGGTGAGCTCTCGATCCCCACCCAGATTTCCTAGCGTGCGACGTCTCCCATCATGAGATGCTCTCGGGCCCCCGGGACACCAGGGGGAGGGAACAGGGAGCAGGGGGCTCGGAATCCAGAGTCACTAGCTCCAGCTCATGTTCATTATTTGGAATCATTTCAGCAAGTTAAAATCCGAGAGCTCCAAGGACATAAGGACCGGAGAGTTCGAGTTTTCGGTTGGATTCATCATCTGAGACGACAGAGCAAAGCGATGTTCTTCATCGTCCTTCGAGACGGTACCGGTTTCCTCCAATGTGTGATGAACGACAAGCTCTGCTTGACTCTGGACGCGTTGAAACTCACGACGGAGAGCACGGTATGTTCCCCGATTTTTGCTCGACCATGAATTTCCTGGATTTTAAGTAGGACCTATGATTGATCAATTGATATCCGATTGAGCGACGGCTCCTCGACGTTCTGTTGGAATCGGTGATTCGATGGAGCAAAGTATCCGTACGGAGGCGTGTTTCTCTTCAAGATACTGATCACGGGAGTTGTGAAGGATGTCCTCGCGGGCAAGACAGCGCCAGGAGGTATCGAATTGACCGCCGATTACTGGGAGTTGGTCGGAGATTCACCGGCGGGGGGCATGGATAATGTTCTGAACGAGGAGAGCCATGTCGATGTTCTGCTCGACAACAGACATCTCGCCCTCCGAGGAGAAACTCTCAGCAAGATCATGAGGGCACGCTCGGTGAGTCCTCGGAGGGAATGATATCGGATTCGACATCGTCACGCAATGCGATTTAGGTCGAGTCGAGACATCTTGAGGATGTGCTCAATGAACTCATGCCCTCCCTTTCAGTTCATCATGCAGTGTTTCCGCGACCACTTCTTCAGCAAATATTACGTCGAAGTCACTCCTCCCACCATGATCCAATGCCAAGTGGAGGGCGGGTCGACCCTTTTCAAATTCGATTATTTCGGCGAGGAAGCTTACCTCACCCAGAGCTCACAGCTTTATCTCGAAACCATGCTCCCTGTGTTAGGTGTGCCTACATTTCCCGAGCCATCTGAATCAATCAATCAATCAAAGAATAATTCGTTCAATTTCCTTAAATTTATGCATGTATTCCTCGTTCTAGGTGATGTCTTCTGCGTCGCACAATCCTACCGGGCAGAGCAATCGAGAACGCGACGACATCTCGCTGAGTACACCCACGTCGAAGCCGAGTTCGTGAATATTTCTTTTGACGACCTGCTCGACCGGTAAGGCTCCCGCGAATCGGTAGTCTCGAAGTTATACATGGGTACTTCCGAGAAGTTATCCGTCTGAGCGATCAGCGTAGGACGGGTCGTGTTTCCCGATATCCTAAGGAACTCGGAATTTCTTTTTTGTAGGATTGAAGACATGATCGTAGACGTGTCGCAACGCGCCATGGACTCACCAGCGGGTGATATTATTCGGGAGATCAACCCGAGCTTCGTCCCACCGAAGAAACCTTTCAGACGAATGAAGTACACCGAAGCCATCGAGTACTGTAGACAGAATGCGATCATGAAGGAAGATGGCACTCAGTTTGAGTTTGGCGACGATATTCCCGAGATGCCAGAGAGGAAAATGACCGACCAAATCAACGAGCCGATCATGTTGAACAGATTCCCCGCGGAAATCAAGAGTTTCTACATGCCGGTACGATACTGGACCCGTTCTCGATGCAGACTCATACTCGCTCCCATTCGGGTTGAGCTCTTTGCTGATGATCGCGGAGCTGGAATAGGATCGTTGATGACGTAGGTTTTTGCATCTACAGCGAGACGTTGAAGACAACAGGGTGACCGAGAGCGTCGACGTGCTCATGCCTGGAGTAGGGGAAATCGTCGGGGGATCGATGAGGATTTGGAAAATCGACGAGCTAATGGCCGGCTTCAAACGGGAAAACATCGACCCCGCTAACTATGATTGGTGAGTCGGCGGTGCCAGGGAACGGAGTCCTATTCCTCATGAAGTTTCACTTTCATCCTCCTTGTTGGAAGCACATTGACAGCCTGATTCGCCTCCTTCAAGGTATATCGATCAGCGTCGATTCGGAACCTGCCCCCACGGAGGCTTCGGTCTCGGGTTTGAGCGCTTCCTGACTTGGATGTTGGGTCGCCATCACATCCGGGACGTCGTGCTGTACCCTCGCTTCGTGGGAAGATGCAAACCTTGATCTTATCGAAATAAATTATGCGATGACGAGATGAGAGATTCGATTCTCTTAAGAAACAGACATGGATTTCCGAAATACACCATCATTTATTACTCCACGTCGTGACTGACTGCCTGATACGAAATCGATCGCTACGGGGTTCTCCTTTGGAAAATTCGCATTTGGTCGACTCGGGGTTCTCAGTTTTCTGCTTCCCTTTCCAGCAGTGCCTAGACGGTCCTCATCATTCAGTTCGAGTACCTTATGCTGCTTCTCCCTTCGACGTCGTCCTCGAAGATACATATATTAGCAAAATGCCCAAAAATTCATTATTCCTTCCCCACCGTCAACATCAGGCCCCGTCGAATGGGACCGTGTTGGACATTCTACAATACATTAACCCTATTTGGTTTGTGGGTGTCGAGCGACACTCGATTGCGATTCACGTTTTCCAACGTACATTTCTACGTTCCCTCGTCGAAATATGTCTACTTCTGTTTGACCGACTCCCAATCTGTGTTTTTTCGTCTGCTTGTTTGTTCGATCATTCATTCATGCTTCCATTGTCTGTGTGAGTGTTTGGTCTCCTCAGCGTAGTTGAGCAATTACCTCTCTGCCCGTGGACTGGGTTCTCGTTCGTTTTCTGTCCTCAAAGAGTCACATGCTAAGTTCACGCTCCGTCTACTCTGGGGGAGACTGACTATTTCGACTCGTATATACATACAATTATCGAAGCTGTGGCTTCTCAGTTTTTGTTGCTGGTGCGATGCCGCCGATAGCGATGGCAACAAGGAGACGGCGACATCCGACTCTACGTTGGCGACTACACTACAACTCGTATCATCGCCAACAAAAGCTTTCCGAAATCTCTGAGGGGAGTTTGTGGTGGAGGACAGGAGGAGGAAAAGCAGGATATAAGACGAATTGGAACCACGGAAGAATGCGGAGCGCCTCACGTGGGGAAATAATGGGGATAACTCGATGCAGGAGATAGGGGCGGACACAGGAATGACAAGAAAAGGGACAATGCTTTGGGATGTGACATTGGCATTTCATAGGAGTTGGGCTATGACGGGATGGAGGAGACTCATGTGCTCAGCGCCCTTGATAGGAAGTTTGTTCAGTGAGTAATGATGGATCATTTCCGGTATTGATTCGAATGGCTTGCTGAATTGACCGAGCACATATCGTCCCTCTGGCTTGTGGACAATCTTCATGTGCATGAACCCTCGAGCGCTCCTGGAAAGAAACCTTCTGTTATTTTCTCACAACAGGGGCAGACTCCGCATAGCACAAGGATTCGTTCCAGAATTCATTTCAGCTATTGGATTCGCTTCACGCACTTGATAGACAGGGAATAGTCCTGTTTGCTGCTTTCGCTTATCCGAACGAGATAACTGCCTTCTTTCTGAGCTCTGAGGAGATTTTCTGCGTCGAGACGGGCGATCGCGCCGTGATACCAGCCCTGCTTTTCCAAACTAAGTTTCGGATCGACGCTCTCGCCGCTAGGCAAGAGAGACGAACACCCGAAATTCAAAGCCATATTCTGTCGACTACGTTTTGGCGATCCATTAAGGTTCAATGGAAGACATGGTCGTGAAGCGGCAGAGCTCTGCTCGCCTGCACCTGATTGGGAAGAATAAAACAAAATCCAGTTAACAATATGCATGACGATATTCCGAGGTAGGAGCCCACAAACATGTCCCACACTGGAGATGACTAGAATAGTTTATCTCAGAGAACATTACACGGTTCCTCCATCAATCTTTGGAGTTATTAATTCGCACTTTATCTGTGGGCGGTCTACTCACTGCTAAGATCCTGCGATCTCTCCGAGAGCTTCGGTCTATCGCCGGCCGCTGAAGCGGATCTATGAGCGGGAACTTTCGGAGCCATTTTCGGCGAGGCATCACTACTTTTCGTCGAGCTTGCCGACGAGGTGCTAGTCTTTGGTGGTCGCGACGGTGCATTGACAGCTGAGGGCTGTCCGCTCTTGGGAAGATCCCAAGGGGAGTCGTAATCCTCTTCTGGTCGATTATCACATGATGGGCTTTGCTGAACCACCTGGAAGCGGAACGAACTCTTAAATCGATCGTTACGCTGGCTCAGCGAGTGACTGAGGAATCGAAGCAGAGAAGCTCTTCGAAGGTTTTGATCGGAACGGGACCGTACCTTGTCCTTCTTGTCGACAGGAAGAGGGAAAGCTTGTCTAGAAGTTGTACGAGGCGGTGTGATTTGAGTTTCGGCGGGTGGGAGGTTCTGATACGTCGTGCCCAGTCGGGGATGTCTTGGAGCTGGAACCGGAGGTCCAGGTGGCGACACCGACTTCTGAGACGGAGCTTCTCTGGCAGACACGGGTTGCACTTGCCGAGAAATCGGGGCTTGCGGAGCTTGTCTTGGCGGGCTCAGAGCCGGTTTCGCAGCAGGTGCTCTCGTGGAATTCGCTCGTCGAATGTGCGGAGGTCTCGGAGGTACGACGTTGCCGTTGCGTGCGACCGCGGCAGCGATTTTGGCTGACGCAGCTGAAAATTCGGACACCTGTTTTAGATCGTGCGATCATCCGGCAGAGAGAAGACTCAATTCATCTCGCATTTTAGGATTCGGACACCGAGAGAATTCAACGACCCTCGGTAATCAAATTGTTAGCGGCGCGCAAACTCGCGTTCCTTCGCCGTCTCCCCGGGCGGAGCAAGCCTCCCGTTGAAATAGTCGCCCCGTAGCGGAGTTCTGACTGAGAAAAACGGTGGAAGCCGATCGCGATTTTCGATCTCCCTCCATGTCGCTTCCTCAACCTTACACTCTGATTCGAATTTCGCTTCACAACAGATCTCGGCTCCGGAGAAAATGAGCAGTCATTCTATGGAAAGAACTTCTGAGAAAGCTGACTACCGTCAGAACCGGCGATCCGTCCGCTCAGAAAACTTGCCGGAGCGAAGAGACGACGTGACTAACGTGACTTGACTCACGGGCGATGTGACATGAGACAATGCTTCGGAGACACTCACCCAAATTCATTGAGGCGTAGGGAGTCGAATACATATCTTCAAGACATCCATCGCTACCCGTCAAGGCGTGCGAGGTTTTCAGCTCAGCGATCAGATCCACAGGATCTTGGTACTCATCACATATCGTTACCTGGAATGGTAGAGAAAATGATTCTGTTGAAACGAAGACTCATCAGTCATCAGAATACGCTCTGGGGTGATCAATTTAACACTTATGTCGAATCTCCGCCGTCCACGTAACCATAATATTTTCGCAAGTACCATGCTTTGTGTACACAATTTCCTGTGGTTCGCGAAAAGGGAGGCGAAACGCCAAGCGATAGAGGGGAATGTCAGTCGTCGAATGAACCACAATTGGGGAACAAGTAGATGAATATTTACTCCATAGAGAAACAAAGTCGAGAATGATAAATTATCCGCCTCATTAGATGGCTCTTTGCTCGATATACCGGGAGAGCCGTCACAGCTGGCCGGGCAATGTTTCTGAGCGAGGAAAGCACCGGAAACCATGGGGGACTCTCGGTGGAGATCCCCAGAAACTGGAACTCACGATCTGTTCTACTCGCGAGTTCATTCCACGCCGATTCAGGTAGAACAGTGACATTCACCGATTACCGACGCATTGGAGATATAGCGTCGGAGTCGAACTTAGTCAACGGGAAAAGTCCCGAAAGATCCACTCCGCGTAACAAGACCAGGGAAATATCCACGAGCAACTATGAATATTCTAATCATCCTGGATTTCCGCTTGGGGGAGACCGTCTCCGCGATAAGAATAATAATTATCCTTAGCGATTATAATCGCTCCCCGAGGTAAACACTCGCGCTCTCAAGGATGATCCTCACCGGAGCTTATCCACGATATCTGCATTTTTCCCCCAGAGGATCCGCATTTTTCTTCCCGAGAGGATCCGCATTTTTTCCCCAGAGGATCCGCGTATAGTCTCTCTGTCGAATCGCGTTGCGTTTCGCGATGACTCCGTGCGGTTGCGAATCACGAAGAGTTCGTTCTAATCGGAGAGGGTCTCAGCATGGTCGGTCGCAAGTCGTCAAACTTCACCCGTGTTCGCCGAGATACAACAAAACGATAACCTAGTTCGTTGGTGGGCTTTCCGGAACGAGGCGAATCACACGTCACGTCCAGCCTATCCGCCGACAAACCAACGGACCGGGCGACCGGTCACAACGGAGCCAATCGTGTCGAGCTTCCAAGAGCGAGTTTTAGCGAAGCGAAGGCAGCTTTGTATTTCGTCTGATGAGCACATACATCAACGAGGAGCTGTCCAGCCTGCGCCCGCTCGAGAACCGAGCTGTTCCGATCGGGAAACGGCGGCGCTGGAGCCGCAGGAGACTGAGCTCACTAGTGTTGTCCACTGAGTCGGTGACGGATCGACGGCTTTAATGGTTCACTTGAGATCTGATAACGTCGGTCGGCCATTCAGCAGGACGATGTCGGGCTGAAAACCGATGCATCGAGCACTTCTTCTGCTCCTCGGAAAACGATCCGAAAAGCACGTCGAAACGATCTGACGTTCCGACTCGGATCGAAGCCGCTCCGAGCAGTCGCACAGTCACGCGACAATGCGGCAGTCGATCCAAGTTGCTCCGAATCAATTCCCTTTGTTTTCCTTCTGATTGTAGGTAATTGAAGAGATCGGTGGAAATTCACGCTCCGAGGACTCTGAGATTCCCACAGTGCAGGGCATTGTTCGTCGTACAAACCTGCAAGTCATCCTGGCTGTGTTGAACCCTGTAATCCGTGATAGCTTGCGGCGTGGCTCTTCCGATGTTCGCCAAGTTGCTCTCGCTGTTGCATCGTGCCGGCTGTTGCGTGAACGCCCCTGGAAGAACAGAAAATCGCCGTTAATTACGAAATCATCAACAAAACACCTGAATATTAAACAGTGTTTACGACTCCTCGTAATTCGATGTTTATTGATCGGTTTCGTCCGATGCCCGCGCCCCGTCCGTATGACAGGTCCAGACGCGAAAACAAACGGGGATTCCTGAGGGGATGGAGAAAGCGAGAGAGGAGCACGGAGATTCAAGAGAAATCATGATCCACGAGTCGCGGCGCGTGATCGCCTGCCAAAACGACAGAGAGACAAAGGACGAGTGCCTCGGCCTCCCACCCGAAAAAGAATTCGTGGAATGTCTTCTCGAGGTGTTACATTTCGCCCCTAAATGCCATATGTGCGGAGCCGAATTGGTGCCGCTCCCCACCATCTGATAAGAGGAGAGCTTTTCCAGCTGTGTGGAAACCTGTGTCAGCGAACGATAGCATCTCAAGTGGAGAGATCACCTCGCTAAATCAAAGGTTATAAAATTAGACTCGCGCCCTTCGGAGCTGTCGTTTTCGGAAACCTGACGCTGGGTCCGCGCTTTCAGTCCGCTTTCACGGACTCGTGCCGGAGCGGGCGAAGTATGCGTCAGCGGATACAATTAAGGGGATGACGAAGCAGAAGACGACGAAGCGAATACAGAAGAGACTGGGTTCACCGGAATATACTATGGAAACCACCCCGAGCGAGTCAGGCAAGAGTGAGACGGACGGGAAAATTCCCTGGAAAACACGCGACCGAGACGCATTCACGACTTTGCTTTAGTCAGAAACCGGTCAAACGAAAAGGAAGTCAGAACCGAAAAAAGACAGGTAGGCAGTCAGTCAGCCCGTCGAAGTGAGTAAGAAAGCGAGCAGCGCGGTAAGGGTTTCTAACGACAATCATACGATAACGACGACAACGACGACTTCGTGACGTTGCTCGTTCTACACAATGCCTGTTCGGCGTTTTCTGGAGGGCGGTTCAGTGGAGTGTCTTTGTATTTTCACATTTTATTCTGGAACCGGCAGTCAGACAGGCAATCCAACAAACCAAAAAGTAAACCAGCGGGCGAATGGTTCGGGAAGTATTCTTCAACCATTTTCGTAGGGTTCGAGCCCTCGACCACCGTCAACGTCGTTACTCAAGTGGAACGAGAGTCGAGTGACTTGCTCTCTCCGTCCGGAATACCGATGCGGAGCGATCACAGAAGGAGCTCGATCATTCCGTTGTCGAATGGGGTTCGGTAGACCTTCCAGGCTTCAGATCTACGCACAGTGAATTTTTCCTCTGGATACGTGGTCCGACCGAACGAGACATCGTGGCGAGATGCGTTGTTGCTCGGCCGTCGAGGCCCAGATATAGTTGGGGGTAAGGTGCCGAGGATTTATTCGTGCGATAAGCGAAGCAGCTGAAGCTTTTCCGAGAAAGAGCGAACAGAGTCAACTGGTCTTTCCGTATCATCGAAGAACAACAGCCGAAGAATGGGGTAACGAGATGTGCACCAAGGTGGGGCATCGAGACGTAAGGCGGCCTCAACATCTGTCCGACTCACTGACTGAACGACCGGCGGACTCGCTCATGACCTGTAAGTGAGCCCGAGCCGATCGCGAAGAGAGAGCCAGAAGACGAAGTCACTTCGAACCTCTTGCATAGTCCGTTCGCTCGTCCGCCTGGGTGCTCAGTTGTAGCCAGTAGTCCGTTCACCGAATCCACGCGAACCGGTCAGACACGCGCTCGGTTTCTTTCTCTCAGTCGGTCATCGGGCGGAACATCTGTCGTCTCCAAATCGGCGGGTTTCTCGCTCGACTGTCTGGTGCATGCTTTACCAGCCCCCCGTCTCGGTTCACCGTTCCTCCGGTCGTTTGACGCATGTATGCTCGCATAGAAAGGACCAGACGCGCTCCAGCATCAGATGTCGATACGTATGACTACGATCATCTGTTTTCGCGCTAAGCCACGTTTTCCTCCGCTCGAGGATGGTTTCGTGTCGCGGACCGTCGATTGACTGCGCTCGCTTGTTCTTAGTAGTTCTGGCAATACTAGTCGAGTCGATCAGTGGAGCTGGTCATGCTCGTGGAAGAACCCGCTGGAGGAAAAGGAGAAGCGCGGGGTGGAAGTTCACCAGAGCGAATCAACTTCCTATGAATCTTCGGAAGAATCGAGTTTCTCTGAGCTTGTTCACAAAAATATGTTGAAATAAACAATATTGAAGGGATTCGTCGAAATTTCCTCGAGTTTTGATCTCGGTCATCCGATAGCCGTCTACCGTACCGGATTTCGACACCAACTGCGGACCGACAAACTCCATGATCTCGTCGACAGCGATTCGAGATGAAGGAATTGAGTGTCACTGTAATCGATTCTCCCGATGCTTTCATTTTGTCCCTGTCCCCGCTAATTTGAGGTTGTAAACTGTCTTCAGTCCGCAAGGCTTTGGCGTCGATCATTATAGCCGCGATTCTTATTCTCAGCTGCTCCTCCGATCGAGAAGCAGCCAGAATTGCCCGAATCATCCCGGAGCCGCATGGATGCAGAAACACTCCACTGAATGAATTAGACGGTCTGAAAATACCGACACTTCCGACAGCTGATCGTCAGAAACCGGTATCGATATCGAACTCCGATTGCGACAGACGCGCATACGCACACGGGCGATTACATTCTACGCGACCCGTATGCCGGTATTGGACAACGAATCCGGCTCGATGAGCCAAGAAATCACTAGCATGGAATGCGACAAGACCATCGTTTCCTCTATCGTTTAATGTCGGATTTCGCAGATGGCTTCGCGCGACAACTGAACGGCGAAACAGAATGAGGCGGAATCTAAGGGTTTTCCAAGAAGACCTCACGCCAGCGACCGCTCACTTTATTGCTTCGACCCACACCAATGCACGCACGTTCAAAGAGTGCTGTCAAGAGCTATCGAGCTATCTCTGGTGGATTTGACAAGTTTCCGATTGTGTGGTCGGACGTACTAGTCAGGAGTCAAGGCAAAAATAGCTGCACAAGGTCTCACACAGTCAGAGCCGGAATCGATTGAAAGAAGATGTTTCTCGCATCGTGTGCGACGCCCGACCGAGCAGTGCACTCGTCCCACTCAAGAGTCTCCCATTGATTTTCGCGCAGACTTTCGAGACTGTGAGTGACACGATCACGGAGTGGTATGACGTACACCGAGTCCGACCGATCCTCTGTAGCTCATCTTCAGAACAGTTTTGCTGAGCCTCTATTTCCGTTCCTGCTGGAGCACAAGCGACATCGGGAACACTTCGGGGAAATTCCGTTCTCGACTGTTTGTATGATGAGACAGAAATATGGCAGGACTGAACGAGGCTACGGATCGAACGCGGATCGACATCATGAGATCCTCGGAAATCGGTCGTATCCGCTGCGACTTCGCCAGAAAAGCATCATCTGGCTTTTCCCCCTCCGAATGAACGTCGGTATATTTTGGCAAAATGTGGCCGGCGCTTGTTTCTCCGATTCTCCCTGGCGCGAAGTGTTGAGAAACGGAGCTACTGGAAAAAAAATTCTAAACACGAGAGGCCTCGACGAGGCCCGGGTCTCGATCTGTGGAACGTGGGAGCTGATTAGCCATTAAATAAAGAACCAACGAACCAGACGAATTCCAAGGAGGTATCGGCAAAGCATCGGGATAGTTTAGAATGAAAAAATGTCAGCGACGCATCGGACATATTCGGAGCACTCGTCGGGTTCTTGGAAAAGCCCGTCGAAGGCTCGGACGTGATTCCGGGAACGAGTTCCACGCAAGATCTAGTTTTGGCATGCGTCGTCCGTGTTTCCGATCCACCGCGATCTCTGTTTCTTGTTTCCTCGACGTGGAGGCACCTTTTGAACTACAGAATCCGATGGGAAGCGCTGTAACGAGATATGTTTGGATCGGTTTCATCACTTCGTTCGCAGGTGACGCCCACGCGCAATCGTGCGCTTTATTCGTCGCTTCGAATGGCTATTGTCGGTGCCAATTGTTGCCCGTTGAAGAGTTGGTACACAGCCGGGGAAAAGCGATTAGGCGACCTTTCTCAAGCCTTTTTCGAGCGCCCGATCAACATCAGATGGACGAACAAGTTTGCGGCAGAGGGACCGCCTGGGGAGAAATTTCTCGGTGGGAAAATTGGGTAAAACACGCCACACCCGATCCGTTCGTACGTGACCGGTCTTAATAACTCCGCATTCGCAAATTAATGCTGCTTGCGCAGATGGGCTGACTTTAGGTTTCAAACGGAAACGAGGCAATGTCCGACACGAGAAGTATCGTAAACGAGACATCATCGGGAATAAATTCTACGAAATGGAGAAATTCCGAGAGAAGGATTGTGCTGTTGACACGCTATCCTTTTTGTAATTTCCATGAGACGTGAGAGATTACATTTATCAGGGGCTTCGCGAATACTCGGATTTCGGTTCGGATGGCTTCCTCCGGAATCGTCCGTCTCACTTCGATGAGATTCAGAATATGATATTTGTCCAAGAAAAAGGCGGCGCATCGGCCGAATCCTACTCGAGCTGTTATCGGAGCGGGGTCTCAAGCAACATATCATCCTCGGGAGGTATTTATTGGGAACTCGGTGGGAAAGGCGGGGCGGGGATCAAAAACTCCATCTCAAAGCTTATCACTCGTGAAGCCTCCCCGATATCCTTCATTCCTCGTCGCTATCTAGAGACACATTTTCTTTGCCGGGTTCTCTGAGGGACTCCGAATGGGATACGGCATATGGTGTGAGCTCCCGCCGTTCCAAATATTGATCGTCTCAGAAGAAGATCATGCCTAATTGAGCGAACGTGATTCATCCATCGAGAAGTATACTTGTTTCAAACAGGATTGAGCTGAAGCACGACGCGACGCTGCGTATTTGTTTTCCAATCATGAGCCGGATCAACGTCATGTGCCACAAGGAGAACGAGCGCGATAAATGGATTCGCCGAGCGGAACACTGGACGAATTAGAAGCGAGAAAACAAATTAAACGAAATCGAGTTCTCTGATATCGGCGA